CCTCTCCTAGAGACTGGTTCAAGAGCTCAAGCTGTGTGTTGAAGTGAGCTGAACTATATCTAGCCAGGATCAGGTTCATTATTGTTATTGTTTATTTATTTTTCATAAAAATTTCCAATAGTTTTATCAGAGTTTGCCAGTTGACATAGTTTAAAGCACATTAGCTCCTCACTATGTAGTGCCACAGTCTTTAAATAACTAGGGGAAAATCCATCCATCCATTTTCTTATCCAGTTCAGGGTCTGGAAAGTATCCTAGATGTCATAGGCCAAAAGGCAGGGGAAACCGTAGCGTGTCTTGGAACTGTGGGAAGAATCCAGAGAGAACCCATACAAGGTTGGAAACAGCATTCAAACTGCACACAGGAAGTAACTTTTGGTAACTTTTCTACATATTTTTTCTGACTTTTTTTTTGACAATTCATCAGCTGTTTGGATACCAAAACAGACCACTTCAGCACATTTTGCTATGTAGCACAACTAGTACAAGACGTCTGTACTCAAGGTCTGGTGAGTAAAATTAAACATTTTTTACTCTGTGATTAGCAGGTAGGTGTGACTGTGAGCTGCAACCTTGCAGTTTTTGGATGTAGTATGCTGAGCAAACTCGTTAATGTTGGCTGATAACTTGTCAGAGTGAAGGACTGAATGCTACAACAACTTGTTTCAATATTTCCACAAATTCAGAGATTACCTCTTCACTCACAAATAGATTTAAGCAGTCTCACCAGTAATATATGCTAATATCCAAGAGAAGAGGGTATTTGAAGTGATAAAACAGCACCAGCAGAGTGCTCACAGTGACACATTAACAAGTGACACTGAAAGTGTAACTTTTGAAAAAAATGTTTAATTTTCTTCAGAGGAGGCGAAAAAAAAAAAAGTTCATGATGTTAGTCAAGCAGCAACAAATTCTCTACAAATCAAAAAAGGTTGGATTAGTTTGAGTAACTGATCAGGTCAAGAGTTTTGTGGATGTTTCTGTTCCTTTTCTTTCGGTGCATTTTATTTTTACTTTACATATTTCGGGAATATAGTGCTATTGTCACGGTCTGCCAGGGCAAGCCGTGTGGTAATTATTTAGGACCCGGAAGCGGCAGCTCTGGTGCAGGTGAGTATTTATTTACAAAAG